GCAAAGTTGTATTGAGAAAGAATAAACTAGTTTTATTTAAGAAAGGACTTGTATCACTAAAGTTTCTTCCGAAAGAATTTTTACGGAAAATTAACAAACGAACAGAGACGTAACAATATGAAATAAGGCGTCTTACACTGAACAGTGCTAAAACTAAACTTTGGCATGATCTTCGACTCTTTAGTGTTTTATAAATCATTTTTTCCCATTCAGCGTTCAGATTTTGTCAAATATCTGGGCGTTACCTATGATAAGCATCTCACCTGGAAAACCAACTTTGCTACAACCTGTTCCAAGGTCGTCAAAAGAAACAATTTCATGCGATGCCTCATTGAGACCCACTGGGAAATAAATTATCCACTTTTACTCTGTACTTATAAATCATTTGTTTGTCAACGTATTACCTATGGTCATATTGCATTAGTGTAAGCTTCCTCTACCTATTGTGATCGACTAATGATTTTGGAATGTCATGCTCTTAGTTTAGCTTTCCGAATTCGTCCTCCAGTCTCATCAAAGAACTATATGACCACATTACTTTTTCTTCCATCATTCCACACGTCCATAACTTCATCAAAAAATACATACATCAGTGCTTCATTAACATTAGTCCCCGGTGGGACAGCGGTAAGTTTATCGAATTACAGCGCTAAAATCTTGGGTTCCATTTCCCGTAATGGACACAGCAGATAACCCAATGTGGCTTTCCTCTAAAAAACAAACATTAATAATAACGTTATCATTGTGGATTTGCTGAGTGTGCTTGTCAATCCACCATAGAAATGCATTCCACCTGCTGAACCATCTATCATTGGATGACCCAAATTCTGATGCTGCCCCAGTGTCTCTTCTGCAATATCATATCTATCAACCTTCTTACTCACAACTGTTTCTTTTTGCATATGGTAGTCTCGCGTCTCCAGTATATTATTTCAGAAGTTCCAGCCAAGTTCTCAAGCTGAATTTCGGCCTTGACTTTCCACTCTGAACCAGTTCCTCATGTTGTGGTTTTAAAACCAATTGCCCATCTTGCCTCTTGCTTTTTTTTTACTTTAGAAAGCATTTGATGATATTTGGTTAGCATCTTAGATTAGTCTATACAACACTTCACTTTTCCCACTTGTTTCTTCAGTCTCATTCCTTCTACACTTATTAAACCTTTCTTTGTCATCTGACCATCCATACCTCAATAAATTTTCTACGATTTGTATCCTTCTCTTGGCAAAAGAATGTGCAACCTCTGCTGACTCGCCAATTTCATTACTGGGAGGACCCGCCATGGCCAGGTGGTTAAGACACTGGACTCGCAATCTGCGGATCGCGGGTTCGAATCCCCGTCCCACCAAACATGCTCGCCCTTTCAGCCGTGGGGGCGTTCTAATGTGACGGTCAATCCCACTCTTCGTTGGTAAAAGAGTAGCCCAAGAGTTGGTGGTGGGTGGTGATGACTAGCTGTCTTCCCTCTAACCTTACACTGCTAAATTAGGGATGGCTAGCACAGATAGCCCTCATGTAGCTTTGCGCGAAATTAAAAAACAAAACAAACAAACAACATATTACTGGGACTGG